GAAGAGCTGGAGTGCAAAGCCCGCACGAGGACAAGTACGCTGATCGCCCCCTGGGAGGACGACGGCCCCACATGGCCTGCTCCAAGGCAGACGTCCATCCTTCCTTGACCTTGTTGGTGAAGGACTGAAAAGGGCCAAGCCACCTAAACAAAGCCACCACCAACGTCTGTAGAAGAAGACGCCGCAGGGCCACGCCTTTGACTGCCCTGCGAACTCGCCACGCTCGGCGCACAAGAACCGTCGTGAGCTCCTCAGCCGTGTTGCAACGTTTGCGGCTCCCTTCGGGGAGATATCTGATATCACATTTAAGCACCCTAACCCTTGCACAGGTTAAACAAACAACACCACCAATCAGGTGGTAGCCATAGCTTACGTTGAATCAAAGTTTGGAGTTTGGTGATAAACCCTAATAGCTCAGCAATCTGGGGGGGGCCCAAAGAAATCTATCCCGCCTGCAAAGGGAGAACTTGCGGTGCCCGCCGCCTTCAGGCACGAGAGGTGCAGGGTCAAGGCATTTAGGGTTTTGCATGGCTTAGGGTGTAGCGGTTTAGTGGGTTCGGTTTAGGATTCAGGGGTTTATGAAGGGTCTAAAAGGTCTTCGGGGTTCAGGGGTGTAATCTGAACTGCTTAGGGTAGTGCTTAGGCTTCGCTTTAAGGAGAGGACAGCAATCCGGTCAGGACGCTTGTACTGTTTAATTACCCTGAAATACCTTGGCCGGCAGTGTGCCATCTTTGGGTGTTAAATAAACCTCAGCATTAAACCCTAAACCCTAAACTTATTATGCTTTCAAACCGCTCAAAGAACCCTAAACATGTCCCCGTAAACCCTGAAATGCGAAACCCTGAAACCGTGAGCCCTAAACCCTAAGGCCCTGAACCCGACACCTTATAAACCTAAAAGTCAAGGACCGAAGCTGGGTTCTTGTTGAGGACTCTAAGTTAAGTTACCATAATAACAAGGGAACCCTTTCATTTGAAGCATATCTCTAATATGGTAACTTAAATTACATGATAACTTGAATTAACTAGATCTCGGTAAACTTAAATTACATAGTAACTTAAATTCACTAGATCTCTAAAATGGTAAACTTAAATTACATGGTAACTTTAAATTAACTAGATCTCTAATATGGTAAACTTAAATTACATGATAGCTTAAATTAAACCCTAAACTACCCTAAACCCTAAACCCTGAACACATATTAACTTAAATTCAAGTTCCTCAACAAGAGCCCGCCAAGGCCTGGAAGGGCGATGGTGCACCGGCCCTTGGAGGCTGGGCGGTCGGTTAAGGGTTTAGGGGTTTAGGGGTTTAGGGGTTTAGGGGATTTAGGGGTTTAGGGGTTTAGGGGTTTAGGGGATTTAGGGATTTAGGGT